GATGTGAGCCAACATGCCTGGCCCTTTATCTAATATTTACAACAGTACTATTCTATTCCGTATGCATCAAACCCCCAGTTTTACAGAAGAGGAGACAGGCTTGCAGAGGTTAAGTGACTTACTTAGCTGGCTAATATGGGCAGAGGTCAGATTCCAATCTAACACTATTTTTGACTAGAAAGTGCTGATTCTTTTAAATTTTATTTTATTTTTATTTATTTATTTTTTTGAGACAGAGTCTCCCTCTGTCACCCAGGCTGGAGTGCACTGTCACGACCTTGGCTCACTGCAACCTCTGCCTCCCGTGTTCAAGCAATTGTCTTGCCTCAGCCTTCCAAGTTAGCTGGGATTACAGGCACCCACCACCACACCTGGCTCCTTTTTGTATTTTCAGTAGAGACTGTGTTTTACCATGTTGGCCAGGGTAGTCTCAAACTCCTGACCTCAGGTGATCCACCTGCCTCCGCCTCCCAAAGTGCTGGGATGACAGGAACGAACCACCACACCTGGCCAATTCTTAGCCATGAAAGCACTCTGCCCATCTTCGTTCCCTAGACTAGTTTATAAGCAACAGAGATTCACTGCGTACAGTTCCGGAGGTTGGGAAGTCCAAGATGAAGACACCTGTCCATTTTGTGTCTGGCGAAGGCCGCTCTCTGCTTCCAGGGTGCTGCCTTGTTGCTGCAGGTTCCCATGGGGAAGGCAGAGAGACAAAAGGGCCTTGGGCAGTTCCTTCCAGCCCTTTGTAAGGGTGTTAATCCCATCCACGAGGGAGGGGCCTCATGGCCCTAATCAGCTTCTAAAGCCTCCGTCTCTCAACACTATCGCATTAGAGCCTTAGGTTCCCGTGTATGAATTATGGGGGGACACCTTTATTCAGAGCCTTTCACTGCCGTGTGTAAAAGAGTCTTTACATGACAGCCACTTAAATATTTCACGATGAGTGGAACTGCTGTTGAAATATTTATTTGTTTTTGTTTCTTGCCCTCTATAGCACGATCCATCTTCAAGTTTTAGTTGCAGGAGAAGGTTTGTCTTTGCTATGAACTTGCATATTTCTCCTCCCTCAGCCAAGGAGAGAATCTTGAAGCTTGGGTTTCCCTAGGCAGCTTGGAGTGAAATTTAGCCCCTAATTGCAGCAGCTGTTTTTAGCTTACTTAGGATAATGTTCTTCCCTTTCTTGAGCGTGACTTTATATATCTGTATGGATGGTTCAATTGCACATGTTTTCTTTCCCACTTTGAGCTTTTCGGATGCAGAGACTAAATGAACTGAATGTGTACCTAATTTTGTAAGCTGCCTTTTTTCAGAAGCAAATTATGTTGGTATATCAAGTGGGATTCAGTTGTGACCGGTTTTCTCTGCAAAGCGCTCAACATTTATTCTGTGGCTGAACTGGGGCGTGGGTTGGGTGTGCTTGCTTGAGTATAATGTCCTTATTATGACTGTAAAATTTTGTGTAGTGAATCCAGAGCTGCAGACAACCAGGTAGATATTTATAAAATGCTGAGATGCTCTAGAGTGACCCACGGTGGAATGGAAGGAATGCTTTTTTGTACCGACCTTAGTGGGTCTTGCTCCAGGTAGCAAATTAGGTAAGAACAGAGCAGGTGTCTTTCCATACTGATAAAGACTTAAACACTGGTTAAGATAACAGCTGGTGAGGCTCATCTTAGCAACTTAGGTGAGATCAGGGCAGGTGTCTTTCCATACTGATAAAGACTTAAACACTGGTTAAGATAACAGCTGGTGAGGCTCATCTAGTGAGGCTCATCTAGCAAATTAGGTGAGATCAGGCCAGGTGTCTTTCCATACTGATAAAGACTTAAACACTGGTTAAGATAACAGCTGGTGAGGCTCATCTAGCAAATTAGGTAAAAACAGAGCAGGTGTCTTTCCATACTGATAAAGATAACAGCTGGTGAGGCTCCTCTTAGGTAAGATCAGGGCAGGTGTCTTCTCATGATTATGAAAAGCATCAGTTAAGAGCTGGTGAAGCTCACTGGGTGTGGACCGGCCCCGAGGGTAAATCACACATGAAGCCTTAGTCAGGGTCGACGTCTAGTTTTCTGGACCATACATGTCTCAGTCTGTGCTGCTGTAACAATACCTGAGACTGGGTTGTTTATAAAAAGCAAAGACTTCTTTCTTACAGTTCTGCAGGCTGGCAAGTCCAAGGGCAAGGGTCCTCTGTCTTCCAGGGGCCTTCTTGCCGTGTCATCCTGTAGCAGAAGAGGAACGGAGCATGAGTGTTAGAATGAAAGAGACGAAGAAGGGGAAGGGGCTGAACTCATCCTTTTTGTTGTTGACACGCTCTAGTTGCGCAGGCTGGAGTGCAATGGCGTGAGCAATGGTTCAGCTCACTGCAACCTCTGCCTCCTGGGTTCAAGCAATTCTCCTGCCTCAGTGTCCCTGAGTAGCTGGGATTATAGGCGTGCACTACCACGCCTGGCTAATTTTTTGTGTTTTTAGTAGAGATGGGGGTTTCACCACGTTGGCCAGGCTGGTCTTGAACTCCCGACCTCAGGTAATGCACCCGCCTCGGCCTCCAAAAGTGCTGGGATTACAGGCGTGAGCCACCGCTTATGGCTCCACTCATCCTTTTCTCAGGACCTCACTCCTGTGATGGGTCCTACGCTGCAGCAACAGCATTAATCCCGCCCTCTGACCTAATCACCTCTCAACACTGTGACCTTGGGGACTAGGTTTCCAACAAACAGAATCTGGGGAGACATTCACTTATGGCAGTGGGTATCAGTCCGTGCTCAGATGACCATGACACGCAGCCCCAGGGAATCGGGATTGGCTTTAAGGAAAAGATAGAGTAGCGCGTATTCATGCTTGCGAGTGTCCCTTTTAAAGCTTTTTGCTCCGACAATTAACTTGGAGAAGAAAAGGAGGTGGTCACTGAAGCATTCTTCCGGAGAAAGATTCTTGTATTCTGTTTAAACATAAGGATAGATTTGGGAACATCTGACCTGTAACCAGCTGAAGATGACCCCTTGTCATTGGCAAATGCACGTCCCCTTTGTAATTACCATCCTGCGGTTCGCAGTTGTCCCATGGATGTGTGCGGTTAGCCACGGGAAGAGTTAAGGGTGGGGGGTTGGGTGTTGCGAGCTGACAGTTGGCTCTTGTCTCAGCCATGTGTCCGTCTTACTTTTCGGGGTCCTGAGCATTTGGGAGAGTTGTCCCAGTTGTTGTGACGAGCGGAAAGCACCTTTGTTAGAAATAGAGAAACCAGGAAGTGTAGCCTACTTGGTAGGAAGATAATGAATTCATTTTTAGACATTTTGAGTTTGAAATGAGGGTTTGACATCCGGGTGGAAATGTCTGGCGCTTGGCTGGGGCTGCTTAATGGAAAGAGCGTGTAGGAGGCTGGAGTTCTAGGACAGCTTCTGTCACTGCCTGGCTTTGTGCTCCTGGTGACACCTTTTAACTCTCGGGGCTTTTGCAGGTCAGACGCTGCCCTGTTCACCCTCCAGCAGCTCTGACACCAAGGTGTTCTCCACCCACTCTTTTTTTTTTTTGAGACGGAGTTTCGCTCTTGTTACCCAGGCTGGAGTGCAATGGCGCGATCTCGGCTCACCGCAACCTCCGCCTCCTGGGTTCAGGCAATTCTCCTGCCTCAGTCTCCTGAGTAGCTGGGATTACAGGCACACGCCACCATGCCCAGCTAATTTTTTGTATTTTTAGTAGAGACGGGGTTTCACCATGTTGACCAGGATGGTCTCGATCTCTTGACCTTGTGATCCACCGGCCTCGGCCTCCCAAAGTGCTGGGATTACAAGCTTGAGCCACCTGCCTCGGCCTCCCAAAGTGCTGGGATAACAGGCGTGATCCACCTGCCTCGGCCTCCCAAAGTGCTGGGATTACAGGCGTGAGCCACCGCGCCCGGCCTCCACCCACTCCTTGTGATTGACTCCCTGTGCCTCCTGCCTGTTGGCCCCAGTTCTGCTCGGAGGTTTATCGGTCCTCTTAGTCCCCTTTGCTAGATGAGGAAGCAGAATGCGACGTGTCCGGCGTCTTGTTCACAGTCACAGGGAGCATGACTGCACGAGCTGGGCCGGGAGCCGTGCTCTTCCTGCTGTGGAGAGGATCGTCTTCCCAGTCGCCCTTCCTCTCTCTCGTCTTGCTTGTTCCTCCATTCTCCTCCATTGTCTTTGCGGTCCTTTCATCTCACATCTCGTTTTCCTTAGCCTGGAGCTCCTGGTCAGCCTTGCGTTAGTGGAACTTCTCAGCCCCACTGGTGACCGTCTGGGTGCAGGAGCTTTGTTATATTGGTCCGAAAGGATGCTTTAACTTGGAGGGTGCTGGAAGCAGCTTCGTTGCGGGACACCTGAAGGCGGCACTCCCCTTTCCAGGGGGGCAGGTGTGATTAGCACTTCGGAAGGCGTGTGCTCGCTAACCACTCGGGTAAGCAGCGCCTGCGTCTCCACCAGCTTTGCGGAGCTGCTTCTTGAGATGCAGGTCACCACGTGTACTCACTTGGAGCTTGGGCATTTTCTACCTGTTTTGGGTGCGGTGTGAGTGCGACACCTGTATTACCGGGGAGAAATGAGACACTTGGATCTCTGCTGGATCACAGCCAAGGCATCTAGTTCCTGGGCATCCCGACACCTCTGGGATTCTCCGTCCTTCCTTACAAGCATCAAGTGAGAATTTATCAGGCCAAGAAAAGGAGCCAAGGATATTGCCATTTGTATACAGTTCGATGGGGATGTGGTGTGCCATGATTAACAAGGACAACATGGTTCCAATTCGTGATTAAATGGGGAAAATGAAGTAAGATGACGGTGAAGGAATGGGAAGAACCTGAGTTCCTTCGGAAATTGCTCAGGTCATCGGGACCCCGGAAATATCCTGACTTTCCCTCTAGAAATGTTATTGTTACTTTTAGAACGACGCTGGCCGTCTGAAAATCAGATGGCCCTTTAAGAAAGGAAAGGAAGAATGAATGATGATGCCTTTCTTTTCCCCCCCTGTTGTCTCTTGGGCAGGGAAAAGATGCCATTCCACCATGTGACCGCCGGCTTGTTGTACAAGGGGAATTACCTCAACCGATCGCTCTCTGCTGGCAGTGACAGTGAACAGCTGGCGAACATCTCCGTGGAGGAGCTCGATGGTAAGGAGGCCGCCCTGTCTGCGGGGCTGTGTCCCGACCCAGGGAGGCGTTTGTGGCTACTGTGAAACTGGGCCGAAAGTCCCGGGCTCTGGCCACTCGTTGGCAGTTGTGGTCAAATGTAATCATGACGTGATAGGAAATTTTGCCCACGTGACTTTTGTGCGTGTGTATGTGTGCAGGGCAGACCTGTTAGCCTGAACAATCTGTGGTGGATATTTTGGCTTCCTCGGATATTGACCCGGGTGGGGTGCGGGGAGAGCCTTCACTTCTCTTAAAATGTGGTTTCCGGTTTCCAGAGCCTTTAGCACCCGTGGAATTGTCTGGTTTCTGTGCTGTCGCTGACGGTGGGGTCCATCTGCAGGGGAGGTTTAAGCCCTGTTAATGGCTTGACTTCTGGCCATGGTGCTTTGAATCCTGCCCAGATCAGAATCATCTGGAAGCTCCATCTAGGTGGCAATGGATAGCAATTATTTTAATTGCCTCTGTTCCTTCACAACAGAGCACAGCCCTGGGCGTTGAAGGCAGGGGTGAGGGATGAGCATAAACCTGGGAACACGATGACTGAATTCATCCTGGGACAGTGTCTCATTGTATCTTGCATAAGCCAATCCTCTAACTGAAAAAAAAAAATTAAAAATGGGAAAAACCAGTTTGCTTGTTGTTTGTTTTTTCCCGGAATAGAGAATTAGGTTGATTTAGCCTGATGTGTTTTCACTTAGGCATCTGCTGAGGTCAGACCAGAATCCGTTTTCCCTCGTGTTTCTGAATGCTCTGTTGCTTGTAATACCATTTTAAAGCACAAAGTTTAGATTTACTTTCTCAAGAAGTCAAAATTACCCCAGATGGCCCACGTATTTGCTTCCAGGTGTCATGGTTCAAATCACCGTGCTTTGCAGGTGCACATTAGGGAGCCTCATTTCTCCCAAAAAGAAGGTGCAGGACGTTTGGCCCTGAGACAGCAAAGCCAAACTCGTTTCCAACAGGCAGGAGGTGAGGGAGGTGAGAGGACAGGCCACCGAACAGCCTCTCCTTCTCCCACCCACTTTGCTTGTGCGCTTGTTTAAATGCGTGCTTGTTTACATGAATAAGGGAGGCAGCAGAGGACGTGGCCCCGGTGGCTGGGTCCAAGCAGAGTCTGGGGGACGTTTGAAGAAGTGCGGGTGACGGGTGCCGAGTTAAGGTTTCTAGGGATAGCAGCTGCTCACTGTGATCTGGACAAAGACTGGTGGCCTGAGAGGAGAGCAGGGACCCTCGTGTCTTCTGGTCTTCAGCTGAGCGAAAGGTGTGCTGATGTAGGACTCAGAAGCAGGAGACCGAGCACTTCTCCAAAGTGAGCCTGTGCGTTCGGGAGGCTCGGATGGGTAAGATCGAGGTGCCAGGAGATTTGATGTCTGGTGAGGGCCGCTCTCTGATTCACAGATTTCACCTTCTCGCTGTGTCCTCATATGGTGGAGGGGCGAATACGTTCTTTTGGGACCTGAGTCTGTAAAGGTACTGTGGTAGTGTGCTTTGTGTTGCTGTAAAAGCGTAGGACAGACTGGGTGATTTACACAGAGAAGAAGTACATTTGGCTGATGGTTCTGAAGACTGGGAAATCCAAGTGCACAGCACTGATATCCAGTGAGGGCTTTCACGCTGTTTCATTCGGTGACAGAAGGGGGTAAAAACAAGAGCAAACGCACTTTTTTTTTTTTTTTTTTGAGATGGAGTGTTGCTCTTGTCACCCAGGCTGGAGTGCAGTGGTGTGATCTCAGCTCACTGCAACCTCCACCTCCCGGGTTCAAGCTTCTTCTGCCTCAGCCTCCTGAGTAGCTGGGATTACAGGCGCCCACCACCACACCCGGCTGATTTTTTTTTTTTTTACTTTTAGTAGAGATGAGGTTTTGCCATGTTGGTCAGGCTGGTCTTGAACTCCTGACCTCAGGTGATCCACCCACCTCAGCCTCACCCCGAAGTGCTGAGATTACAGGCGTGAGCTGTCTTGCCTGGCCCAAACTCACTTTTATAAGAATCCACTCTCTGGGTAATGAACTCCCCACTGAGATAATGGCATTAATCCATTCATGAGGGTAGATCTTTCATAAAATAATCACCTCTTAACCATCCCACCTCTTAGCACTGTCATAATGCCAATTAAATGTCCATGTGAGGTTTGTAAGGGCATTGAAACCATAGCAGACACCGATCCCGTTCGTGAGGGCTCTGCCATCCTGGTCACCTCCTGGAAGACCTCCCTCCCTAATGACATCACACTGGTGATTAGGCTTCCACCTCTGCGTTTTGGGAGGACCCAAACATTCAGCTCACAGCAGGTACGTCTGGGAGGCGAAGCCAGGGTCTGGGAGTCTTCACACTGAATGGACATTATTAGGGCAGGCGGTGCATTCATGTGGGATGGATGTTTGCTTGTGTTTGAGTAGATCCCCCTGGCTCAGTCTTCAGTTAGCAGGAGGGACCGGGAGTCCGCCATGCAGGGCCCACCGAGTGGCCCTGGCTGTGAGAACCGAGAGCGACACTCTCTGTATGTTTTGGGCGATTCTTTCAGAGGTTAAAAGTCACTACCCAAATGGAGTTTGGAAATCGTCTGTGGCTTTCTGCGTTCTCCCCGCTTCCTCCGCCCACCTTTGCCATGATGATCCGGAGATGATTTCTCTGTGACTTCTCAGCACAATGGCTTTTTTTCCACTGTTACATTCAAGCTCTGCTAAGGCAGCTGCTCGGGCCACTGTGGGGGTGCATGACTTTTCAAGAGGGCTCTGGCTGGGTTTCAGCCCTCCTCTCCCTACTTGGGTACCCTTCTGATATGCCGTCTACTTTCTTGGACAAACAGAAAAAGCATATAAACTTGCGATTTTAACCAGGCAAAGGCAGCTTGAGAGAAACTGAAATGCTCTTTTTCGGTATGTAGATTAGCGGGAGTCTTTCTAAGAGCCCTCCAAGCCCAGATTGGCAGCCTGAGCATCGGCAGCCTTGGGTACCTTACTGAGCGAAGACCGCCTGGTGAGGATGCTGCATTTGTCCTTCAGGAGGGTAATCCAGCCTCTCAGCCTGGGGAAGGGCCATTTATTTTCTGACGGAAGATTCATTCTACTTATTTAGTTTTTGCCAAGGTGAACACTTGAGTTATGACTGCTCCCGCTATATTACAAGCATCTCGGGGCTCCGGGCAGGGCGGTGCAGATGTGTTCTGAGTTTAGAGCAGGCGTACAGGGTCTGGAAACCAACTGGCTTGAATCGACTCAGATGCCTACGGATCGGTCCCGGGGAAGCCAGTTTCCAGGGCACTGCTGGCTTGCTGTTCTCTCGGGCTGCTTCATGGCAAGGTGACCCTAAAGTTCTGCTGGTGGGGGCCACCCGTTCATCCTCAGAGGACAGGCCGTGTTGCACTGGGAGTTGATGTGTTGGAGACTGATGGAGGCTGCAGCATTTTTTGTGGTCTGGCTGCCTTCAGCATCATCATTACCTGGGTACTGTCCTTACGTGCTCCCTCCCTCCCACCCTGCAGCCTCTGCAGCCTCTGCAGCCCTCTGCCTGTAAATGGCTACAGGTTTCCCCACCTGTTCGTGTTCATCAGCAGTGATGGAAAATCCCTTTCCTTCAGTGGAAGGGCCGATGGTGCACACTTCATGAGTGGTTATCCTCTGAAAACAGGCAGGAAGAGGACCATGTGCCATGCAGGTCATTTTCACCTGCAGTTCACTTCTGGGAAGTTCCTGTGTCTTCTCTTTAAACAAAGCTCAGGAGGGAAAAATGCAAAGCTGCATCAAGGTGACCAGGTCAAAGTTGGGGATCACCCAACCAATCAAACTCAGCAAAGGTGGATTAACGGAGACAGCCTCCATCCATCCATCCGTCCATCCAGCCATCCATCCGTCCGTCCGTCCGCCCGCCCGCCCGTCCATCCATCTATCCGTCCATCCGTTTTCACTCATTCATTAAAGGGATGTTTAGTAGGTAGAGGAGGAAATGCTTACTAGGTAGTCGAGGAAAATTATAGTATTCATAGCCTGTTTCCAAGGTGCTTACATCTATTCGGGAAGTTTATGCATATACCAGATTTATTAGCAATATCTTATACTTCTAGAGAGCATTATATGGGATTTTATTAGATATAGGCATTATGATTGTTGAAAAATAGTTTTCTCAATGCTGTTTATTGAATAATCTCACAATGCTGTCTTTTTTTTTTAATTTTTTTTGAGACAGTGTCTCGCTCTGTCACCCAGGCTGGAGTGCAGTGGCGTGATCTTTACTCACTGTAACCTCCACCTCCCAAGTTCAAACGATTCTCCTGCCTCAGCCTACCAAGTAGCTGGGATTACAGGCATGTGCCACCATGCCTGACTCATTTTTGTATTTTTAGTAGAGACGAGTTTCACCATGTTAGCCAGGTTGGTATTGACCTTCTCACCTCAAATGATCTGCCTGCTTTGGCCTCCCAAAGTGCTGGGATTGTAGTCATAAGTCACTGTGCTTGGCCTTGAAATATTATCTTAATATTACACTAAATTCACCTCCATATGCTGTTCATCTATTTTCCTTAATATATAATGTTCCATTGTATATAAATATGTCTTAATTTATTTTCCTACTTTATTCTCAGTAGATATTTGGGTGGTTTCCAGTTTGGAGCTGTTTGGAAATACATATTGGCTATTTTCCAGTTTGTGAAAATCTGTTTCTGGTCATAAATTATTATATATATATTCATAAAAAATCTCTTTCTCCAAGTCTTCCAGATGATGGTACCTTTCTTTGGCATGAAAATGTTTAAAATACAATTTATATTGCTTTTTTTCCATTATGCTTCGTGACTCAACATTATGAAGTTTTTTTTGTAGGCTCAGTGTTTGTCAGTAAACAGGGTTTGAAAAGAACCTAGGCTTGGCCAGGCGCAGTGGCTCACGCCTGTAATCCCAGCACTTTGGGAGGCTGAGGCGGGAAGATCACTTGAGCCCAGGAGTTCGAGACCAGCCTGGGCAACATAGGGAGACCCTGTC